AGGGAGGGGGCAGGGGGACGTGGGGACAACACCCACCTGCCTCGACTGGCCTTGTCTGAATCCCCAGTCAGGGCAGTCTGGGGGAGCTCTCTCCTCTCCTCGCTTGAAAGGGAGGTGTGGGCTGGGTGGTTTGGAGGCTGCGGGCCCCGTGGGGGTGGGGGCCTAGGGCCCGTGCGTGTGGCTACCCAGCTCTGGCCTCCCATCACTGGAGCTGTCCAGCCAGTTATTCCAGCAATCTGGCCCCAGGGTGGGGAGTGGGCAGCAGGGTGCCCCTTATCTCCCCCAGGGCCCCAAAGCCTGCTCACCCAGCCTCCTAGCTCCTAGCTCCCAGCTCCCATCCCTGCCACCACCAGAGGCACCTCTGACCTCTGAAGGCTGAGGGCCCTGAGACAGTGGAAGCAGGAATGGCTGGTCAGACCGGGGGTAAAGGCAGTGGGCCACAGCCTGCAGTAGTAAAGGGCCACTGCAGAGGGAGATAGGAGGTGGTCTCTAAGAGGGACGGAGCAGACGGGACAGGAGTGGGATGCCCTGGCCCTGGCCCTGTTGTGGCTTCCCTGCCCCTCCTTCCTTCTAGGTCTGTCCTGAACTCTGGGTCTTTCTGTTGCCGGCTCCTCCCCTCCCTCCCTGCCCGACTGTGTCTGAGTTTATTGATATTTCCCCTCCCTGCCTTTCTCACCACCCCCCCCCCCCAGCTGTGTGCCTCTGTCTCTCGGGATCTTGGTCTCTATCTGTCTGGGTCTGTTGGTCACTGTCTCTGGGTCCAGCTCTGTCTCTCTCTGGATCTCTCCTTCTCTGGGTCTCACTCCAAGGTTTTGTGGGGGTTTTGTCTCTTATTCTCTGGGACTCTCCTGTCTCCCTTGTCTGTCTTTCTTGTCTGTCTTGTCTGTCTCTGTCTACTTTACCCCACCCCCAGACTCTTCCCAGGCCCCACCCCCTTGCCCCTCACTCAGGTCTTCCTCCCTGTCTCCCACCCCTCTTGGTGGCCCAGTCCAGCAGGCAGACGCCCTGGACGGCTGAGTGAGCACCGACAAGCAGCTGGGGGCTGCCATCCCTCCCCACCCCACTCTGCACAGCGGGGAGGAGACCCTGCCCCCGGCTGCCTCTCACCCCAGGGCACCCATCTCCGTTCCTCCCTCCACCGTGCCTGAGCCCCACACGTGTCCAGCTTGCAGCCGTCTGAAGAGCCCGTAGCCCCGGAGCTGGGTCCCCAGTGGTGTGAGGGTCCGAGGTTCCGTCCTCAACCCACAGCAATAACTCTGGGAAGACCAGAGCAGCTGGCCTAGACTCCTGAGCGCTGCCCTAGGACAGAGACCCCAGCTCAGCCCCCTGCCTGGCGCAGCTGCCTGCTCGCTGACGCCCACGGGTGTGCCTCAGCCTGGGGGGTACGGACATTCTCATTTGGATGTCAGTCCAGGCACCCACACAGCATACCTGTGCGTGGCTGTGTGGGGCAGGGGTCACCTGTGGGCCCCTGTGTTGGCGCCTGTGCCCACAGGAGTGTTCCTAGAAAGTGAGCCTTGCCCGTGCCTATGAGACAGCGGAAGGGACGGTGGTCCCACTGTCTCCTTGACTCGTCCTTGCAGCCGCCCCCTGGGCTCCCCTCCCCCTCACCAGCTGCCAGCGGTCCCAGCCAGGGGCCGCCGCCCCGCCCCCCCAGTCTGTCCCAGCTCCCAAGCACTGCTGTGTTCGCCATATTTGGCCACAGTGCTCCTGCGGGGGGCGGGGCGGGGCTGACATCACCCCGAGAAGGGGGGGGGCCACCGCCTGGAAGAGGGGAGGCGGGCAGAGACTTGGGGGAGGCAGGAAAATTGCTGTAAAAAGTCTGGGGCTGCCAGGGCCCCCCATGCGCTGGGCCCCTGCTGCTCCGAGGGAGGCCTCAGGAAAGGATTTGGGGGGAAATGCGTTGAGGACTCTGTTGGGAGGGGTCTTAGCCCACTGTAGCCCCTCTTCTGCCTCCCCTCATAGCCTGTGGCAGTGTCGATCTGGGAGGAGGCCCTGCATCTCAACTACCTCAATATGGGAGTCACTGGGTCTCCAGTCTTGAGTCTCTGCCCTCTCACATTTTTATTCCAAGAACGTGGCCTCAGGAGTTAAGGAGGGGATGGGGATATAACTTCCGGTGGGGAGAGACAGGCTGGGAGTAGAGGAGTTGGCCGTCTCACTGGTCAGGAGCATGGCTTCCTCTCTCCCTGGCCACCCCTCTGGTGTGGGAGAGCTGTTCCTCCTGGTCTTGGAGGCCTCACAGAAAGGGCTTCGGGAATATGGGTGTCCTTGAAGTTGCCCCAGCTACTTGGGCTGGGGGGAGGCCCCTGGTCTGGACCCCACTGGGTGGGCTCAGAGCGGTTGCCATGACAGCTGGGCCTCCTTTCTGGCTCAAGGTGGTGAGGCTTCTCAGCTTCATCCCCTTGGTTAAGGGACTGAAGCCAGATTGCCTACGCTCAGAGCCCAGCTCCAGCACTTACTAGCTGTGTGTCTGACAAGTTGCTTAACCTCTCTGTTCTTTGGTTTCCTCATCTGTAAAGTGGGACTAGTAATAGTCTCTACCCCATGGGTTATTTTGAGGATTAAATGAATCAATGTGTGTAAAATCCCAGAACGGTGCCTGCCATATAACAGGTGCTCTCATTAGTAGTCTTTTTTTTTTAATATTAATGTTTATTATTAAAAAAAATTTTTTTTTAGTGTTTATTTTTGTGTGTGTGAGAGAGAGAGACAGAGCACAAGCAGGGAAGCGGTAGAGAGAGAGGGAGACACAGAATCCGAAGCAGGCTCCAGGATCCGAGCTGTCAGCACAAAGCCCAACATGGGACTCGAACCCACGAACCGTGAGATCATGACCTGAGCTGAAGTCAGACGCTTAACTGGTGGAGCCCCCCAGGCGCCCCTCATTAGTAATCTTAAGTCCATATCCTTCTGACATTCAGGCCTCCTAGGCCCTCCCCATCCTTTGCCACTAGCCACACTCTTCAAGCCTCCCTAAACAGGTGGCCCCGCAGAGAGGACCCTCTACCCATTTGGCAGTACCTGGAATTCTTGTCTGAGGGGAAAGAATTCTCTTCCTTGGCTGCAGAGGGGTCTCCACATCTCTTTCCTACCCTACCCACCCCCCGCTTTCCCTGCAGGCCAGAGCAAAGTCCTTGGATGTAGCCGTCTTGGGCTCCAAGGCTCCCAGGACCCTGATAATGCATTGGCCATGCAGAGCCTGAGGCTGAAGGGGGTTGGGGGTGAGCCTTGGAGCTGTGTGTGTTGGGGGCACTGCCGGGTGCGGTCTAAGTTAATAACCCAGTCTGGCGTGTGCAGGGAACTCAGAGTTTACAGAGCCCTGGCCCATCTGCAATGTGGGCCAGGGCAGGGGCAGGCGTGTGGGTGGTTTATGGGCTGCTGTGGGGCCGGGAGGTGCAGGAACAGGAAGTGGGACGGAGGAGCCAGTGGGGTTGAGCAAGGCTGTTGGCCAGGCACCTTCTCAGCTGCTCCCTTGCCAGCCAGCATCCCTCCCTCCTCGCAATTCCTGGGACAGTCCCAGCCCCCATGTTTAGGTTCCTTGTGAGTTATCTTTTAGGGAAGTCACAACCACACCCTTCCTGGGTCAGGGACCCTCCCCATCCCGCATAATGGGTCTTCAGCAGGGTTGCACTGGGGCAGGGGGAGATTGAGGAGGTGGGGGGGGGGTGTCCCTGTCTGGGGATGCCCAAGACCCGAGGAGGAGCAGGCAGAGTCAGAGCCGAGCAGCCCCTCTGAGAGCTGCAGACACACCGGGCCCCACTCCTGTTTCTCCTCTCCACTCGTCACGATGCCTTTGGCAGCCGCATAACCTTGGGAGCCTTAGTCTCTCATCTGAAAAATGGGCCCCAGTCCTTGCCCTTCCTGCCTTAGCTTTGAGGATTAAATGAATATGAATGTGCTTCTTCCCCACAAAAGTGCCGTGTAGATATAGGCATTATTATTGTTGTTATCGATCACCACCAAGACTGTGTCTCGAGTGTTTTATGAGTCAGGCATTGGGGGTTGGTACTTTGTCATGATCTCATTTCCCTCACAACCTCAAGGAGACCTTTTCCTTGTCTTATAGGACCGAAAGCTCAGAGAGGTGATATAGCTCGGTCAAGGTCACACAGCGCTGAACAGGCATAACCTCTGGTTATCTCCACCCTGCCCTGGAGCACCTGCCCCTGGGGTGGGAGATTGCTGGGATCTGGGAGAAGCCTGGCCCTAACTCCTCTGTGTCTGCCCCACAGGCTCCGGCTGCCCAGTGGGCTCAGGCCCAGAGCCCAGAGCAACCAGCACAATAGCGTCCAACAGCTGGAATGCCAGCAGCAGCCCCGGGGAGGCCCGGGAGGATGGGCCCGAGGGCCTGGACAAGGGGCTGGACAACGACGCGGAGGGTGTGTGGAGCCCCGACATCGAGCAGAGCTTCCAGGAGGCCCTGGCCATCTACCCGCCCTGCGGCCGCCGCAAGATCATCCTGTCAGACGAGGGCAAGATGTACGGTGCGTGCGGGGAGGCACAGGGACACTGGACAGGACCGGAGAGGTGGCCTGGCCCTCCCTGGCACCTCCCCCTGCTCTCTGCCCCCTCACCCAACCGGTTTGGCGAAGTCCTGTGAGGCCGCCAGCCTGCCACGGGCGAGTCTGGGCGTGTAAGCCTGTGTGTCTGGATCCTCCTCATAAACAAGCCGGGCTCGCCCCCTCCACCAGAGTGAGGCCCACACCTTGACACCCCCGGCGGCTCCTCCTCTCTTCCCCCTGCTGGCCTACAGGTTTCAGGGTGACTCAGTGGACACAGGAAACTGGGTCAGTCCAGTGTGCTCCAGGCTAGGCCTGGGACAAGGTCTTTCCCCACAGAGGGTGGGGAAGCCCCAGGGTAAGACCTGGGGTGTCCTACTGGCGAGTTCCCTCCAGTTCCTGGGTGTGGGATGGGGGCGCTGCGCGCTGGTGGCAGGCCGCACGGCGGCGACAGGGGCCTCGGTTAGGGAGAGGGCTGGAGAGACCAGGAGACGCCTTCATTCCTCAGACCACCTCCCAAGTGTCTCCTGCTCTCCTAGCCTGCTCTCTGCCACCTTGCCCATCCCTTGCCTCCAGAAGGGAGTGTCCCCCTCTTGTCCAGCCCTGAGAGGGCTCTCCCAGAGCTGCATTTTTGGGATAACTCAACCCTTCTGGGCCTGGCTCCTTGCCGGCTCCCTCCAACCCTCCCTGACGGCCTATGGCTGACTGAGGCAGGCCCTTAGCCCATCCCCTCCCAGCGTCCATGACTGTGACGGGGGCCAGGAAGGAGACAGCTGGGCCAAGTGGTAAGGACTGCAGTGTCCCTTGTCCCCACCCTCTGTGCCATGCTCGCCCTAGCCCCAGAGCCCACTCGTGGGCAGGCAGATGTTCCAGAGCGCTTCCATAGGGCGGGGGCTGCCTGTCCCTACTGCTACCTCCCAGATGGCTGGGGCAGCCCCACAGGGTATTTTTAGACAGGGCGGAGGGAGTGGGGTGGAGAGGGGCAGGCAGGAAGGGAGGGGCAGTGGGGCTGGTTCTGTCATGGAAGAGGAATTTGGAGAA